GTAGTAGTAGTAGTCGAAGTAGAAGTAGTAGTAGTAGTAGTAGTAGCAGCAGCGGCAAAGCAACAGCAGCAGCAGCAGTAGTAAGTAGTAGTTGTCGACGTCGTGTAGTAGTCATCGTCGTACTAGCACAGATACAACATGATAAGCAAGAGGAGCAAAAAAAGATGAGAACAAACAAAACTGACACTTGGCCTTGAAATTTGAATAGTAAACAAGTAACTCTACAACGAAGAACAACAACATCAAGATAATTGATTGAATACTCTGTACTTAATAATGCTAGGATACTGGCTGCGCGGAACCGTTTAGTCAAATGGTTGTTGACAGAAACTGAGAAAGCACTATAAGGGAGTCTCTGAAAATAGGGGACCCTAATATAGCACCCTAAATAGTAGGATCCTTATTATAAGGACCCTGCGGAAACTCCCAAATCATTAGGCGCCTGAATTACTTCGTCGGACGTCTCCTTGGCAACCTGCTGCGGCTGGTACCAGGGAAAGGCCTGACATTTCTGGGAAGAGCAAACCAAGTGCACGACCGAACTCTCACAAGTGACGGCTGTGTCGGTCCTTGCGGTTGTAGCTTTGGCGCGACCCATCGCGCGACTCCCCGAATTTGGCATTATAAAGGCGCAATGCTTCCTGCGCAGGAAGGCAGATTGCGTTGGGTGTCGAGACCCCACCGGATGATCAGCCATAGGGAAGCTCAAACACGAAGCCTAAGACACTCTCAGCTGACACCATTGCTTTCGCCAGGGGTGGCCTTCTCGTCCTTGCTGATCTTGTCACTCAATAGGCCATTCTGTCAGGTGCTGGCCCAGCTGAAAGTTGTGAAATCTATGTTGACCCTCATGTTTGCCTGCGAATATGCAAGGTCATGGCCTTTGGGCTCTCCCTGTCGCTGTCGCCACTGGTCACCTTGGCTCGTAGCCGAACGAAGTCGTCAAGAGAACGATATGTGATCAAGTTATACTGTTATACTCCTTAGACTCCAGCATACGGTGCATTCTGACTGTCACCGTCACTTGTGGAATCCTCGCTGGAGTCTGCCTCCTCAAGGGAGCAAGAAGGCACCCAAGGCCGCAATGCTTCGAGGCTGTCTTCCCGTCAGTCCTTCTCCCCCTTCACTTCCTGGAGTCTGACCAGCAAGTCCTGCTGTCAAGCTTGCAGGAATCGGTTTTCGGCCGCTTGAAGACCTCACCAGTTGAGATTTAGCCAAGCTCGTCAACCAAACATACCACTGAGTACAATAAATCGTTCTCTTAAGTAGAACTTCGCATACCCCACATGTTACTCAATATGCAGGACATCTTATGGTCTGTCGAAACCATCACGACATAAAAGGCGGCCTTCGAAGTACTTCCCTAAACCATGCAAACCCTGTTAGCCCTCTCTTGAGACCTTAGTATGCTAAATATATAGTATACTATAGTATAGCATAGCATAATACAGTGTAGCATAATATGACATAGACAGTGCTGAGTGCAGTATAGTATAGCACAGTACAGTATACGTAGCATATATATATATAGAGCATAGTATAGCATAGCATAGTATAGTGGATGGTAAGGTAGCATAATTAACTATGTTCAACCGCAGGGTTATGAGCTCGACAACCCCATGTCAGGCGTCGGAGTCCTTGTCCTTGAGAGAGACGGTCACCCATCCCTGTGACGGGCCCTCGCCCTCGAGGAGCTCGTAACGCATGCGGCCCTCGAAACACTCCAGGCCCTGACCAGGGCTTTCTTACATACGTACGCACACTAGGTTTTGATATGCAGATATAGTATATTATGTGTATATATATATATATATGTATTTATTTATTTATTTTTGTATTTTTGATATACCGCTTTAGGCTATAAGATGCCGATTCGGCCTTCACCTTCGCTCCCGTGGCTAAGCGTTGGGCCGCCACCGAAGAGTCCAAGCCTCGTTCCGCGCGGACCTTGGAAGATTTTTCCCGTAGCTTCTGAGAGTTCATACGGCATCCACACTGATATGTATATACTATATAAATATATGTATATGTATGTGTATATATATATATATATATATGCTTTTCAGTATATATTATATTCGTTGGCTCTTTAGGGATTCTATTATGGCCTGGCTGTGGGTCGTGGATGCAACCGGGCTGGGTTAGGGCTGATGGGGTGAAGTTTGCTGCAGTTCTCAAAGGGGCTTCGAGAGCATAGAGCTGGCTGGAGAGTTGGAGCTAGCCTCGAGCAAAATCAGAAGGCCTTCCTCGCGACTGGTGCCAGGGTGGGGAACCAACTCAGTTAGCCTCTAAGGAACCCAGTAGATATAGATTTCTAAGTCTACATATTTATAATAACCTATATATGTACATTGTATTGGAGCACGTGCTGCCGCTAGGTTCCCTGCAATGATGCCACCCCTTTCAGCGCCTCCCACCTGAGAAACGTTGAAGTTGAAGGGGGGTATAGAGCATGAAAGGGCAGCAGGAGTAAGTCCCCAAGCCTTCCTAGAAGCCTTCCGGCTTCAGGTGGACAACTTAAACCTTTGGCGATCCGTTCCTTCACACAAGAGCACAGAAGACTCAAGAAGCCCGTTATAAAGCTGAGGCAGCCGCCACGGTCCACAGGCCCGAAGCACTCATTTCCCTTAGCACGTGAGCTATCCACCTCAACTACTACCACGCCTGCTAATGGACTCTCCAAGCAGCTGGAAGTTGGAAGCCCTCCACGTGCTACAGTTTCCAGGATTAGGGACAGCCGGGCCACGTTCAGCCCAGCTTGAGTTCGGATCTGCGGTCGGAGGCACAAACACAAAGCTCCTCCGACAAACGACCCACGACAGGCAATATCCCACAGGACAACCGTGGCTTCTTTTTGCACCGGTCTGGGTCAGGTGGGGTGATGCGCATCGATCAGTTGCCCCACCAAATCGTGGAACATCGCATCGACTCCCTCGTTGGTCCTCAGCTCCAGCAGACACTATAAGTACTCTTGCAGCTGCCCTTTAACCTTCGCAAAAAACTGCGACTGGCTGAAGTGGGTGAGGCAGCAACCAGTCACAATCAGCGCAAAGACCAGAAACATTCATGCACATGAATGCCCGTCGCCACTGAGATCTGAGCCGGGCAGATACCTCCTTGGGAGGAACAGCGGGCAAAACGAGGGTGCGCTGAAGGCTTCGCAGCAGCCGGAAGTGGAAGAGTGCCAAGGCTCGAAGTAGCGCATGGCGTGTCGTTTTGCAAAAAGTTTCGCCGCTTCTGCAGCCTCTTTGGGCTCCTTCCACAGGTCAACCTTGGCTCTGTTAAAGTCTCTCCAAAATCTAACTTGCCGGAAACTAGCCTGAAGCCGAGCAGCCTTATTTGCAACCTTAGTGCGACTTTGATTGTCGGTCGTGACATGGGGTGGATTCGGAAGATGAGCAAGCCGACACTGGGAGCGCAAGCTACCTGACTGGATGTCTTGGCTGGCAAGTGTCGACGCCCTTGACCACATCAGGTCGGCAGTGTCTGTCCATCAGGTCAAGGAAGCGTGAAAGCTCCTCCCAGCAGGCGCTTCAGTGTGACAGACCTTGCTGGTGAGCGGAGTTGTGACGATCATTGTCATGTTCCTATGCCTTTTGGCAGTACTCATCCCATTTTCCTGTGCTTCTATTGCTTCTTCTGCTGCTTCTGATGCTCTCCTTTCTGCTGGCTGCCACCATAGTGCTACCTTTGACAAGGATATCATTGTCATTGCTGCTTCCTGCTCTTGATGTTTTGTCTGGATGGCCTCGTTTTTATTTCTCGCTTTAGCTAGCTCCAGTATCTTGCTGACAAACCAAGTACCCCCCTAAACCCTAAACCCTAAACCCTAAACCTTATAAACCCTAAACCCTAAACCCAATTCCCTCCCGTATCCTTGCACGGCTGCTCTCGCGCGTCCATGCAGAGAAGCACGGCAGCGGCACCGCTGTAGAGGGCAGCTTCCAGGTCGTGCTCCGCATCGTCCCCTGAAGCGACACTACCTCTAGCGTCCTAGTGTGTAGGGTTTGGGATACATCTGTCTCCTGTAGATATATATATATATATGTATGAATATATATATATATATATGCATACGTGTGGGTTATTCCTTTTTGACCTATAACATGCAATATCAAGGTAAATATGTATTGTGATTAGCAAGATATCGGAACATTACGTTTTGTTACTGTTGAAGTCATTTACATTTTGATATGTATATATATATATACTATAGTATGTACTATAAAACTACAAAACATAACACACATGCTAAACACTATATAATATGTAATCTACAAGTTACCTTACATAACGAATGGCATAGCATAGAAGATATGGCATAATAAACGAAACATATCGTATATGATCGGCGATAAAACTTCATATGAAAAATGATACGATATAACGTAATATAGTATCATATAACAATATGATATACTACAATATAACGTGGCATAATACACTCTTACACATACATACACACACACACACATAGATAAATATATATATGCGTTTGTGTATGTGTGTGTTTGGAAACGTATGTGCTTGCGTGCACGTTCGCGTGCGTGTGTTGTTTGTTTGTGTGTGTGTGTGTGTCTGTTGTGTGTGTCTACGTTTTGTGTCTGTCTGCATTTTGGGTGTGCGTGTGTGTCTATTGTGTGTGTGTGTGTCTGCGTTTTGGGTGTGCGTGTGTTGTTTGAGAGTGAGTGTGTGTGTGTTCTGTGTTGTGTGTTGTGTGT